CTTGAAACTTTTTTGTGACGGCTAATAGGTCAGAAAGGGGGAAGGAAAGGTATATTTGGAAACCGTCAGCATAGATGTGGTATTGGGAGTGATGTATCAGGAGGGGAAGATCATTAATGTAAATAGCAAACAGAGTAGGAGACAAGGAGGAACCCTGAAAGACACCACAGGAGAGGGGAAGTGTCTTTGAAGGAGGTTGTTCTGGGACGACTACATACTGGGATCGATCGGAAAGGAAGGATTTGAACCAACGCAGGGCACTCTTGGATAGAGGAATATTATGCAATTTTGTAAGAAGGATATTATGGTCAACTGTGTCAAACGCTTTTGAAAAATCTAAAAGGATGAGGATAGTACGATTTTGGTGTTCAATGGAGTTTTGGAGGTCATGGGTAATTTTAAGGAGAGCAGATTGCGTTAAGTAGCCAGGTCGAAAGCCAGATTGGAATGGGTTCATAAGGGAACGTTCCTCTAAGAAGTTGGATAGTTGATTTTCGACAAGGCGTTCTAACGGCTATGAGAGGTTGGATAGGAGAGAAATAGGACGGAAGTCGTGGTAGTGGTGGTGCAGTGTGGTAGGGTTGGAAATTTTATTCAAAGATCGGACTAGAGCAGTTTTCCAGAAGGATGGGAATATGAAATTTTGCAATGAAAAATTGTAGATATGATGAAGAATAGAAATAAGGACAGGAAGTCTGGATTTTATTAGTTTTACTGGAATATTATCAGGACCATAATCATTCGTGTGGAATTTTAGTATAGTGGAAAGTAATGCATCGTAGGACACATGGGCGAATAAAAAGTATTTAGGATTGGAGTTGAGATGTTTAGTATCGAAAGTAGGAGAAGAATTGTGAGTGAAGGATAAGAGATGGTTATTAAGATCATCTAGAGGAAGAGAGAAGAAATTAAGATTATTGGATTCTGTATTTTCCACTTAGATTTGGAGCCGGTAGCATTGGACAGGGCATTATGAAAGTAGGTGGCTTTAGCAAGTCGGACTGCGGATTGGGTTCCATTGCGAAGCTCCTTGAAAGAAGCATAATCCACAGAAAAACGGGTTTGACGGTATTTGCGCTGTGCTGCATCTCTCCCTTTATTTATCTCATTGGTAAGTCAAGAAGCCTTGGTACGGCGTAAGGTTTTGGTTTTTAGAAGAACGTGGATGTCTAATATGGTTTGTAGGTTTGAGGTCAGGGTGGATACCATAGGATCAATGGAGTTTTAGGAATATATGGAGTGCCATTGGAGAGAATTAAGGTCTAGTTGAAGGGATTCATAGGAGAGAAGGTTTAAATTGCGGTATGAAACTGTTCTGGGAGTGAAGGATTTCACGGGTAGGTCGTATGTAATTTGGATCAGGTCATGTTGTGAAAAACATGGAACTGGATGTTAAGAAGAGGAAAGGATTTTGATGGGAGTGCCAGTGATATAGAGGTCTAATCAAGTATCGGAAAATTACGTATGATGGGTAGGAGAATAAGGAACAAGATGAAGGTTAAGCGAAAACAGCAGGTCGGTTAAGAAGTATTTTTCGGGAGATTTTTTAGGAGAAAGCATGTTCACGTTAAAATCACCGGTGATGATAATATTGGTATAGTTAGAAACCAGGTCAGTAAGGGAAGACTCAAAAAGGTTGTCAAATGAAACACAAGCAGGGTGGTAAACTACAACATGCAACAGAGGAGAGGTAATAGAGGAAATTTCAACGAACATGTATTCCACATGAGAAAAATCATGATGAGGAGACTGTAGAAAGATTTTGGCCATAAGACTGTCATAGATATATAATCCGACACCACCTCCCGTGCGATGAGGTAGGTTACAGGATATCGTGACGTAGGAACGAGTATTCGTGTGAGGAAACCTGGGAGGATGGGATAAAAGGTTTTATCCAGATTTCAGATACTGCTACAATGTGGTAAAAATTGTCAAGAAAATATTTCTGGAATTCATCGTAGTGTGCAATACGGGATTGTACGTTGACGTGACAGGAATTCAGGATACCAGTCATAACAGTAGAGTTGGGAAGTAGAATTTTGGGGAAAAGGATCGAGGATAAAGGATAGGATATAACACTTTTTTAAAAAAATATTCCGTTTAAAAATTTCAAAAAATAAAATATTTCAAACATAAAATAAAAACGAATATTGTCAATCATTCCACACTATGTAACAGTCTGTATTATTCATCTCTTAGTTCTTAGTCATTATTCTAACAATTTTATTTTACTTTATATCTATCTATTTTATTTTTCTTTTATCTAGATCTAATCTATTTTATTTTCTCATTTTTTTTGTTATTATCTTTTTTACCATCATTACTTAAGTTTCCCATACCTTGTTATCTGGTTATTTTCTTAGCCCTGATGATGGCCTGAACTTCAGGTCGAAACGTCGGCAGATGTAAAAAATAAATATTATAATTTATTTTTGCCTTCCTTTTTTGACTGAGCACCCCAACTATTCTCTTCATTATCCACGACAGTCAACCAATTACCAATTATAAAATAAAAACAATGCATTTTCAATATTTCGAAATAAATATTCAGTTAAGTTTATTTTAAAGCATATGAAAGTATAAATATCCCCTTGTTTTAAATACATTAATAAAGTTTGGTCAATAACCGAGATCTAAATCATTTGTACAAAAACAAAACAAGCTAAAAAGATTAAAATTAAAATATTTCTAGCGAAAAAGTGTATACAAAAATAAAAAAATCTTCAATATAAAAAAACTAAAAAAAAAAATACATTTATACAAAAATAAAAAAGCCTAAAATTAAGTTTTAAAAAAATTAAGAGTTAAAAAAAATAAAATTAAAATATTTCTGGAGAGAAGAAATAAATTGAATACAATCTCAGAATAACTTACATACATCGTTCAACTCGGTTTTTCTATAATCACCGGTGGGTATCCATCTGACTGTTTGCTTTACTTTTGCAGTCAATTTCTTCTGCCTGGCTAACCAATAGAGGTGTTTATTGGTGGGCGTCATGGCTTCACTCACATAAACGCGGTGCGAGTCATTCTCTCCCCAGCCTAGATGTCGTGAGGAGAAATCTCTCTTTGTTCTTTGCTGCCGTACTAACTCATCTTTCACCGTCTGTCTAAAAAATCTTATAGCAATAATTGGACCTGGTATCCCTTCCTGCTTGGGCTTGAGTCTCACGGAGTGATCAAGATCGTCCCCAGACCCGCTCCGACACTAAGAATTGTGTCAGTCCCCGTTTCACCTGGCTTCTCCGGGATTCCTCTTATTTCTATAGTATTTTTTAGCTGAAATTGTTCTGTAGAGTTTAGTCGATTTTCCAGATATGATATTATTGTTTTTAGCCTCTTATTTTCTATAGTTAAGTTTTCGACATATTAAAAATAAAAATTAATATAATAATGTCATATAAATATTGTCTACGGGAGCTAGTCACAATATTTTATGGACTTAATGATAGTTTCTAATGTAAACTGTAATATAAATCATAATTATAATTTGAAGAAAATAATTTACGCAATAAATAAATATGAAAAGAACGAAAGAATAAAACATTCCAGATACAAATTTTAAATTTAATTTCAGTTGTTCACTGTTAAGAACCTGTTTTTGGCAATAGGGAAACCTATTTTTGCTTTATATTTAATCTAAATCATTAGCATTTTTTTTTTTTTTTTTTTTTATGAGACAGTAGTGAATGGTCCTACTTTTAAGAACCATTATATTAAGTTTATGAGAGTACAGACCTGTCAACTACTGGCAAAAGTTCTCATTATAAGTCTTCAGTAGCTGACACCCATTAAGTATCAAATTCCTTCATAAAGATAACTTAAAAACAGATCAAACATAATTTAAAAACAATCAAACAAACATTTTGGGCAAAATCTGAGAAGTTAAAGAGAAAAAGGCAATGCTAAGGTACTCTTACTGATGGGTTCCTGAGACACTAAGTGGACCGTGAGGAACCTTCATAATTTGCCACTTATTAATTCAGTTGCGATTTTCGGCAAGGCTAAAGAAAAGCTGACAAATATACAAGGAGAAAATATAGAAACTAAAAATATTTCAAATAGATTTCTAGGTTCTGAAATTTTTTATTCCCATTTTTCGAGGAGCATGTCAGGTATTAGTGCTTTTACAACAATTACATAAAGTTATTTCCGTATCAATTTCCACATCGCTTCGTGATGAAAAACAAAAAAAGAAATTGTTTGTTTTTAATTTTTTTTTTTCCATTTATAATTTATAAGATTCTGTATATTTTATTTTTTATGAATTGTTAAAAATGCTGTATCACTTTTTACACTATTATCTTTACATTTTATTTTATTTTTACATTATCTTCTTATATTATTTCAGACAACATTTTCATACTTTTCTAAGTTAAAATTAATTCGTAACAACTTGAAATTTGCCGAAAATTCTTCCTTTTTTTTTATAATTTTGTTTTAAAATATTTGTGAATTTCAAACAAGAATTTCAGCTGAAATAATTGATAGATTGTTGTCAAAAGAATGCAATTATTTCGAGAGTGAGGAAAGAGTAGTCTTTAGAAAACTAGTCCTTAAGAAGACCAGTCTAAAGAATAGTCTTTAGTTTTAAATTGCTTTCTTTCAGAATGTTGAAATACTATCAACCGACCTGTCAGGTATGATAATTTTTCAAACGATTTTTGTTTTATATTAGTTGATTTTATTTTTAATTTATTCCGTATTTCATAGCAATTTATTATAGGTAAACAATAAAGTTACTGCCAGTTACTTTAAGATTACTGAAAACGTGTACATTTTCTAAAATTCATATGGTGTTTTTCCGCAATATGTAGGTATATATCATGTTCTTTTTTAAAGAAATATTTATAATAAATAATAAAAAATATTGAAACTATGATTATTATAGTTAGTGGCTGAGGAAGTAGGTTGGAAAAGGCGACAAACGTTGCTGTAGAGGGGATGCTAGGAGCCATACCAACTTATCACCGGAAAAAGAATGGTGATAATGAGTTGAGTTAGGTCCTTGACAACTGAGTCCCTTCCAGTATGTCCTCATACCTCTTGCTTTTACTCATTATCGCCCGTAAGTACATATTTACTTATTACATAAGTACATATTTATTTATTTTGAATAAATCCTATTCAGTACCAGAATGAAAATAAAATATAAATCTAGAAATAAAAATAAGCCATCAGAATAAGAACAATAATTGAATAATTTTTTAGAACAATTTAGACATAAGTGGAGGTAATATTGATAAAACAAAATCTCTAATTTGATATGAAAAAAAAAATTATAAATCTTTCTATCTTTGAACGCTACAAAACAACTCAAAAACTGAGAATATTATATTAAAATTTTTATATGAATAATAATTTTTCTATACACTTTGTTGGCATTTATAATTATAATTTTATAAAATTCACTTTGCATACAACTCAAATAAACAAAAATAAACGATTTTGTTTTGTATCAAATAAATTATATTTAAACATATTATACTTGATATTTTAAAGGAATTTTACTCAGCTTATATTTTTCAGGACAAAAGCAATGCGAAACCAGTAGATAATGGAGTAAATCCAAATACGGTTGTGACTATTTTCATTATAACACAATGTTTTTGTTTTGTTTTTTTATAGCGCCATGGATACACTGCGGCCATGAAGGCCTATTGAACGCCTATCTATGTTAATACAATATTAACGCTAATGTTATGTCAAATTAGTAGACAAGGCGTCAATACTTAATATGTCATTCGTAATAAATCGAGTTGACAAATTTACTCCAAATAATTATATTGAAACAAAACGTCTAAAGACAAACACTAGCTTATCCAGCATTCAATTCTTTTTAGGTAGGGGGGGGCGGGCCTTTAGCCCGAAAGCTGTTTTGCTTTATATGTATATATATAACGATGATTACTTTGGAACAAAAATAAAGTAACTAACTTCCTATATGAAATGTTTTTTAAATGATTCTTGAAATCCTATTAATGTAATTACAAGAACAATAATACTTTTAGAGATAATTTTATAATATTTTGTTTTTATCAGCCATCGTTATATTTTACCATTTTGGAGGGTAGTGGGGCTCAGCCATAGACCCGCCTGTGCAAGCCCCTGCAACTAAAGATAACATTTGAACGGCTTAATTTAAAAAAGAAATATGTTTACTAGATCTATTTTCAAAATAATTACTCGCTAATATAGTAGTGAAAGTCATTAGCGGATCCAGGATTTAATTTGGGGGGCATCAGCCCGAAAGCTTTTTTGTTTTCATAAAAATAACGATAATTAGTTTGGAAAAATAGAAAGAAACTAACTACCTATATGAAATAGTGTTTAAGTGATTCCTTAAGTCCTTTTAAATGTACTTACACCAAATATAATACTTTAAGAGGTATTTAAAAAAAATTCTTAAAACATGGTTATATTTTATCATTTGGGGAGGGAGCTTCAGCCCGAAAGCCCCCCACCCTCCCGTGATGAAAGTTGAGGTATTAATTCTAAACTCGATTTCTAACACGTTAGGAATCTTTAAAGTTCTAATTTGCGAATAATGAACAACAGAAATACTTTTAACTACATATTTTTATTTTAATACAATACAAAATCTATTGGCATCGTTTGAAAAGTCGATTTTTCTTATATATAAATATTGTAATTCTTTATAGTAACTTTGTTAATCATAACTGTTATCGGGGAGATAAACAAAACTCCAAAGACAGAAAATATTTTAAGTTTAACCCCGTACAGCTAAAGCTTCATTTAAAAATTAACCATAGCATGAAAACTAAACATATTTTTTGCATTAAAAGTATTCATCCGCTACGGTTTAAAATTATTAACAATCTAAGGTTTATATTAAGCGTCATGAACTGTATTAAATCCAATTAAAATTCCAATAAAACAAATAATATAATAATGTAGCCGAAAAAATTACTAGAGCCAGACCACATTTTGTTTTGTATTGACCAGTTCTGCTCTATCGTCGGATTGATATATTTCTAAGAAACTAGAAAAATATTACTCACCTCACAAAAATGCGTGTTAATGAAATATTTTTAAAATTATTTTATATCGATTGTTTTCTTACAAGATTTTGATTTTTTTTTTCTTTTTTTTTGGGGGGGGTGGAGAAAATGTGTTTTATTTTTTCATTAATATTAAGACTTACTGGGCTTGTTATGATTATCTTTCTCAACACACATAGATTAACAATATCAAATCCATAAGAAAATTTGTAGAAAAAGAGGAAAATGGGTTTGGGTTTAATAGGCGATTAGTAAAAGAAAGGAATAATATAGAGGTTGGAGAGGTAGAGAATAAGTTTAGGGAAATTTTTATAGGAATGATAGCAGACCTCAAGAGCTATAAAAACGTTTATACAAACAATGGGCCAATTTTCTGCAGAAAAGTAGGAAATGCAAGTATTGGGTTTCTTTATAGAAGTCGTGTCTTTTTGTTGATATAAAGAAATGACTAAAGAAATATTTAATTTAAGTAATTAAGAATAGCTTCACTGTAGAAATAAGACAAAATTTACTTTACATGAATACTACATATACCCCACTTTTAGAAAAACTTTCTGCTTTAATAAGCATGAAGTTGATATTAATTAAGTTGAGGTTTATTTGCCAAAAACAAATGAGATTCACATGATGTGTAATTTTAATGCATTATAATACCACATTATTATAATTATAATATATCCCTGATTATGGAAAAAGAAGAAATGAAAACTTTGTCACAATAAATTGTAGTCATTTTTACTGAAAACGGGGATACTTTAAGGTGTCAGTGTAAAAAATCATATTATTTTTTAAGGTGAATCTCAAGTTTTTCCAAATAGACTTCAACTAAATTCATATCGGCTTGAAGCTTAATAAACTAGCAAGTTTTTTATGAAGTGATTTATCTGTAGTATAGTTGCATAGTGATAAAAAAATATCGCGAATAATTTTTGATTTTTTTTTAATCATAGCTTAGCTTAGCCTCACAAAGGTCCTCTTTCAATGAATTTAAAAAAGAGAAACTCGACTTTCGTTTGAAGTAAATTTTATCTGATTTACAGTGAAGCAATTTTTAACTATTAAAATAAATACCTCTTCAGTTATCGCTTTCTATTCAACAAAAAATATCACTTACTCAAAAAACAAACAAACACAAAACTTGAATTTCCAACTTTTCTGCTGAAAAGGGACCCATTGTTTAGATGAACTTTTGTGTGGCTCTTGAGGTCTGCTATCATTCCTATAAAAGTTTCTCTCTACTTACGGGACACCCTGTATAACATATAACAGCTACCAATGATTTTCACTTAATGGCTCCAGGATTTGATTTTTTTTTTGTAATTAGGAGGGGCTTTTGCCTGAAAACCTCTCTCCACTTTTCCCCGTAGACCCAAGATGTATAAGTAATCATGTTGAACCGATAAGCAATAGCCTGTCGATTTCTAAAACAATGAATCATTATGCCAGTCCTCTTCATCTTCACGGGTGCTACAACTCATCGTTGAGTCTTGGCCTCCTCAACCAGTTCTCTTGTTATCATAACAAAACTGGATTTTCCAAAAAATAAAAATTAACATTTAGCAAAAGTTGTAATGAAAACCTTTGAAACCGGTCATAATGACATAACTGTGCCGTTGACTTTCCGAATTACTAACACTGTATCAGAAACGTTGTATCAGCCAAAAACTTTGGTATAAAGTGTTATCCTGTTTCAGTTATTGCATTATCTTTCTCAAAGGTATGGGGAATGAACATGAGATGTTTTCTACTGTAAAATATGAAATCACAATCATGACAATGATCCTGCAAGTTTGTGCTTTTAGTGCTGCCATTTTGGATGGAGGCTTCAGCCCGAAACATTTTTTTTTTTATATATTTATATCGATAATTATTTTGGAAGAAAAAAAAAACTAACTACCTAGATAAAATGATGTTGCTTAAGTGATTCTTGAAGTCATATTAAATGTAATTACACGAACAATAATACTATTAGCGATATTTTTTCGTAAGACTTGGTTATATTTTACCATTTTGGGAGGGAGGGGGTTGAGCCCTAAAGCCCCCCTCCCCTAGATCCGCCTGTGGTCCTCCTTTACCCTTCACATGTGCAGAAGGTGCAGATTAAGTGACCCAGAGGATGAATACGTAACACAATCATCAGTTAATCTGAACTATATGGCCAGATCACCGAAAGTACTAAATTTGCAATAAACTGTACATTATAAATATTTTAACGATATTTTTTTCGTAAATACACTTTTTCCTTCAGCTTAATTAAATACTACATTATTTATACTTTAGATCCGAATTTTCGACCAATCAACTAAAATAGAGTTACTAAAAAAAACAAGTATGAGATTAAAAATCAAAATACATATATTATAAAAAAAGTAATAATTAAAAAAACTAAATGTGGCCAGCTATATAGACTACTGAACAGAAAATCTCAACTTTCAATTGACAACAAACTACTGATCTACAAGACAATACTGAAACCCATTTGGACCTACGGACTGGAAGTGTGGGGGACAGCAAAATTTTCTAACATCAAACGCATTCAATCCTTTTAGTCCAAAGTCCTTCGAACAATAGTTAATGCTCCGTTCTATGTAACCAATCAAACCCTACACCATGACCTTAATATCCCATTTGTCCTTGACCTTATCCCTAATAAATTTTCCAAATTCCATTAGAACTTTATAAATCATCCAAATCCCCAGGACAATCCTTATCTAGGCTCCACTCATGCCTACAGTCCTACTCGAAGGTTGAAGCGGCAGTGGCCAAGAGATCTTTTGTAGTATATATCTTGGATCTCTTGGAGTCCTGCTTTTCCTTCTATAGGTGGAAGGAGAAGCCTGGCTTGGGTTCCCTGCCTAATTGTATATTGGAATATATTGGAGTTATGGCAATGGCCAGATTCTCCACTCAAGCTATGTATGTCTGGTTGTAGTGTCTCTGCTCAGCCTCCATTGGTAATACCAGTGATGCCGCTGCGTGAAAGACGCTGGGATCTCCAGCCTTTCCCTCAACGAGTGTGGGAAAAGGCTTGGTTCGGAGATCTTGA